AATACTCAAAATTACAGAGATATTATTATTTTGACAAACTATGTCATATATATATATATCAGTGATTTCACTGTTATCAGACCTATTATGCTAAATTGAAACACTTATTTTTAATTTTCTTCGTCAGAACAATAATACTTTTCAGAAATAAAATCAGGTACACAATGTGTTTTACAAAATTTAAATAGAAATAATTGTACTAGTTTATTAGCAATTATTACTAAAATTTTAAGACAAACTTCAAAAGTCGCGCAATCAAATGTAGCAACACTTGATAAAGTACTGCCCTATATGTATATTTGTAAAAAAATATACAGGGATTTACCGCAATTATGTGATAATAATTAAAGAAAATATCTGATGTGATTATCTATTTGTTATGTGTGATTATCTATTGTCAAAATATTAAATATCGCTAAAAATATCTTGTTCACTAGTATATCGCGCGCGCGCGAATCCATGTTATAAATTATTTGATAGCGTTAACTTGTTTTATTGAAAATCTCACATATAACCGTTCAAAAAAATAAATCTAATAATATTAAATAAATGTTTGCGCCTTTTATGCAAATAAATCTTGTTTGAAACACTATCAAGTATATTTCATTGTTCATTTAATGTATAATAAAGCTGGTTGTTGGTAGACTTGAACCGTATCTCCTTGGGGAAATACTATTATCACTAAGAAAATATTTTCAAACGACACTATGATTCTTCTTTACATTCTTTCCTCACCGAATAATCAATTCATCAATATTTCAACCGTGAGACTTAGTCTATTAGTTGAACGTCGTCCAATATAAGATATCGTGTCTCTCAGAATAGTGCCTGTTGCTTATAACCAATCAGTAATGCTAATTACAGAAAATTTGCAACTAGCAAGTTCAATTGACAATTGTAATTGTCGCCTTCATTGTTTTACGGGTCATGAACTTACAAAGGAAGGATGTAGCATGCACGCGACGTATAAATATTATACTATTATTTCCTCTTTCAATTTATGTGCAGTGGCGAGCATGGAAATAGTAAAATCCTTCATGCGCAAATTGCAACATGTGAATTATATTTTTTTTATTGAAAGTAATCGATCATGTATGTCATTCAAATATGCTATGATATACTTAGCACTTTCGAGTTCAATTTTCGAACTATACGATATCTTTTGCACAATTATACGAAACAGACAGTACTTTCGTATACTTTCATGAAAATTCCTAATTTTATAGATTATTTTAGAAAAAATAAGACGAAAAATTCATATCTACTGAAAGATTCTTCGATCAGAAAATGTAGAAATTAATGTCTGTTCACGTCCGAGTTTCATGTATATTACAAAGCAGATGAATAATTAAAAAATCCATAATGTATAATATGTAAAGATAAGACGTGTCACATCGGGGGGTTTTGTTTATGCAAAAAAATTAAATTCCATTAAAAATGGGAAAAATATAGATTTTAGCACGTTATTTGAGTACTAAATGTTACTTTAGACTAATATCTATAATTGTAACAGAAAAAGTAATTTATTAACAATAATATGTTGCCACAATATAATTTTCAACTGTTTCCCACAATGCTGGGCCCTAAGACATAAAATCTATATTTATATAGAATCTTGAGAAAAATTTCAATGTTTGTGTACAAACAAAATTACCTATACTAATAGTTATGTATTGTTCGATGTCTTTGATATGGATAACCAATTTTTTATAATTCTGTTCGTTTTTTGTGCTGAGTGCTTCAACTATCTTTTTCTTAATTTCTAAAGAAATGTGTTCGAAAATCAATTGCAAAATCTGTTCATATTTATATATTGGGTTGGCAACTAAGTAATTGCCGATTTCAGTTATAGATGTCTCTCACTCCCATTTTTATGATATCCGTAAATGTTATATTATAAAATTATTATTATTATTATTATTATTATTATGTTATTTTTTATTATCCGTGAATGTTAGCAACTAAACAAATTGAATGCAGCGGTCAAGGAAAAGCGACCAGAATTGGTCAATCGTAAAGGTGTCATTTTCCAGCAGGACAATGCTAGGCCGCACACGTCTTTGTCCACTCGGCAAAAATTGATGGATATTGGTTGGGAATTGATGTTACACCCACCATATAGCCCTGATCTCGCGCCATCGGATTACCACTTATTTCCATCCCTGGACAACTCCCTTCGTGGTGAAACTTTTAATGATGATGACGCTGTAAAATCTCACTTAACTCAGTTTTTGGCCGAAAAGGATCAGACTTTCTACGAGTGTGGAATTTTCAAGTTGTCAGAGAGATGACAAAAGGTCATCGAACAAAATGGAAAATACATTACAGATTAAACTTCATTCCAAGTAAAAAAAAATTTTTTATTTCATTGAACAAATCGGCAATTTCTTAGTTGCCAACCCAATGGATTACTTACTAATTCTAAGTCTAACCGAGGAGCTATATATATCGCAGGCACAGTTGCGCGTATCCAAGCAAGTATTTATACGTTTATTTAAAAAATACAAATTGAGAAAAAAGCCCTAAATTTTCCTCACTACTTAAATGAAATTCATCCCTGAATATATAGATTTTTATACAATATATGGCCTTAGCCATCCACCTCGCATGATGGAATGCTCCAGGCATTCTAAATTTAATGCCTTTAGGAGGAGTTTCAACTAGAAAAATTATCATTAATTCTATGAGCTTCTCGTAATCATCCCTCGGTTGGGTTTGTTGTAGATTCTGTAGTGCCGTTTCAATCTTTTTGTCGACATCTATTACATTTTGTCGCACGAATTCATCTTCTATACCGGGTTTATAATTGTTTTTATCTGTTGAACTCCACGAATTTTGAAATTTTTTAAAAAGTGGTGTATCTGGGCCCGTCGACTTCTTCATTTTAATTTCAAATGCAGCACGTAAAATTAAGTCATAAATGTGGTGGTAACATGGCAAATACAGTAATTCTTCTTCCAACTTTTGTTCCAATAGAACGCAGGCTCCGTGTATTCTTCCGGTGTTGATTGCAATCGTATCAAAACAAAGGGCTTCTATTTCAGTTGATAAATTCTCGCTGTGTGACGCTTGGTCGGAACCAGTACCCGATGGCATGACTGGAATACCTAATAATTTTTTCATTTCCCCGCAACTCATAACTATCAGTAATCGTTCTATATTTTTCTGACTTATATCTGATACAAGTATAGCGTAATCTTGTAGGATTAAGTTTTCCGAGCATCTCTTGCAACTGTACTGCACGCACCAAACGATAATTATGTCAACATCTTCGAATGGATGTTTTATTTATTATTAAATCAGTTAGGTCATGGCCTAAATCTTCTGCCGCCGTTATAACGATTCGAACTGCATCACGGTTGCTTATTCTACAAGAATCTAAAGCAGCTACCAATTTTGGGTTAATAACCATCTGCTTTCCTCGTCTTTTCTTGGGGTTACTCAGTCCAGGTATGTCGCAGTCTTATGCCTCGGTGTCCTCATCGTCAGATACCTGAAACTCCGTCAGTCCTAACGGAACTTCCATCGCTTCATTACTAGACGATGATTCCCCAATTGTACCAAAACTAAATATACATATATGAGAGCATTAGAAATAATTTCAAAATATTACCATTAGTCGATGATGTCTGAGCCCGTTGCAATCGCATCTCCTCTTGTTTCTTCCACTCTACATGTCTTTTTTCTTTGTTTGCTAAATTGTGATCACTAGATCCCATCGAACGGACTCGTTCTTTTTGCCTTTGTTGCCGGTGGTATATCTTATCTTCGTCTTCAGAAATTATTTCTAAG